CTGAAAGAATGTTCTCAGGCTCTCTGGTACCTACAAACACTTGCTGGGATATACAGAACACTTAATAATCAGAAGTCTGACAGTTTCTGGGCATCATGATAATTTCTTATGAGAAACCACTTGTAACATTATAGGAGTATTGGGGTGGGCTCAATTAGTTGTCAAAAAGGAACCAGAGGCACAACGCCCTAATTTTTCCCTGTTCTCTATTCCTTATTAGAGTCACTGCTGACTAGGAAAGAATTCCCCACCCTACCCTTATTCCTCTAGTACAAGACCCTAGGTAAATGTTTCAGTGCAGTGGATATTTCTTTTTGTCCACACAAACGATTGGCATTTCTCTGCCTAAATTAGAGATCTCCTAGAGCTAGAAAAGAAGATTAAAATATATTCCTGCTTATTTCAATGTTAAATGAGACTGCTCATCTCTTAAAAACCAATGATTTATCTTTCATAGCTGTAGTGTCTATTATCTTTGTTAACTCTTGAGGCTCACTGTACATAAGAAGTAATTACAAAAAAGAAGTTAGTTCTGAACCCACCATGTCTGTTACATTTCATCCAGAAACTGGATGGCTGGTTTGTTATCTTCAAGGGTGAGCTACGTTGCCCAATTGGCATTGACTAGACTATACATTAAAGGGGGAATTCAGAATTCAGGCCATTCAGATTTCACTCTTAATTCTTTTCTTTCTTTCTTTTTTTAATTTTAGGTTTTGCCATAGGATGTTTATGCTTGCCAGAAAGAGACAGTGAGAGGGAAAGTGAAAAATCAACACTAAAAACGAGTTGACCATGCTGCAATCCTCTCTCCTTCATTCTCCTGGGATTCTCAGCCTGCATGAACATATGCCTGGCAAGATTTTCATATTGCCAGGTCTAGCACTCCAACCATGAAAGGCTATGTGGGAATTGAGGATCTTGACCAGTACACCTCCTGCTGGTCCCTCTTCTTCATTTCTAAGAGCATCCATCCATCCATTCATCCATTTATCCAACAAATACTGAACACCAGCTATTTACCCAGCACTAAAATCATCGAGTAGACCTCTTGTATAATGGGTTGAAAGTTTATAGAAGAATGTTTCTAGGCATACATTCATGACTTTTTTAAAATTTGAGGATCTCTGACTGCCTACTACTCTTGTATGTTTTCTATAACTCTTAACAGTTAATTTTAACCACTTAGGATTATCATTTTCCTTGAGACTTCACCACTTTAGTGACATATTAATGTGCCCTGTGATGGCATATAAACCTTTTCTAGCTATTTCCCGCCACCGTGTCTTTGCACATGCTATTTTCTCTTCCCATAGGCTCTTGCGCTTGTCCACCTTGCATCATTCCCCTGTGAGGAATCATCTTCTCTCTGAGACATTTCCTAAGCACTTCCCAACAGAATTGAACCCCGTTTCCTCTGTACTGTTTCTGTACTTAAGTACATATTTTACCATTGCATTGATGTTCAGTATTTATTAACATGCCACTCATTATTTCTATACTGTTAATTTCTTGAGGATAGAAACATTTGTCTCTTCATTTTTGCATTCCAAGCAGGAAGTCTGGCACATACAAATATTCACTAAATATCTGTTGACCTGCAGAGCCAGTCCCTCTGTTGTAACTGTGGACTGTCACAGAAATATGTCCACAGTTGAGTTCAAATGATCTTACAATTGCAAGTGAACATTTAAAAATTCTTTGAATATTTAATAGGCACTAATTTTTAAAAATTAAACTCTTTTCCTATAAGAGAAATGATCATCCCTACAAAAGTCTAATACAATTGTAAAGGTAGTAATACGCTTTTCTTTAAAAAAATTTTCTGTTGCTCACTTGCCCTCACCCCCAACTCTCTTGACTTTTTGCCAAAAACTTGATTATTATAGGCTTCTTATGTCATGTTACGATTATTCCACTATGAGTCTGAGACCCCTCCCAGATGTAAACGTCCTAAGAGCCAGGCCAAGTTCATTTCCATCTTTGTAGCTCTGGTATACTGCAGTGACTATGAAAGAGATGTGCTTAACAAGCATTTATTAAATGCATAAATATAGGACAAATCAGGGGACAGTGAATGGAATTAAACCCTTGGCTCTTCTTTCTTAGGACCTGCTTTGTGATGATCTTAGATGAAGAAAATCTGTTAAATTCTAATTAAGGCTTCCATTTGTTTTTGAATAAGGCTAACTTAAGACTGTGTGGGTGTGGCAAACTAGTAAAATAAGTAAGAAAAGAAAGAACTTTACTGTGCAAATATTTTTATTTTGTTTTTAAAAAATTTATACCAAAGGAAATCTTTTCTAGTTTTGAAACATGGAATAGTGGGTTGGACCAGAGATAAATAACTAGGTTCTTTATTATGAATAGAAATGACATGGTAAACATTTCACTGAAATTTAAAAGCTTTGAGGATCCTTTCCCCTTTGCTAAAATGGAATTAATCCTATAATTTCCTTTTATTCTAACTATATGCATTAGGATTTTTTTTTTCATTGAATCATTTGACATTTATGATATTTCTTCCTTTTTGGCAACATGAAGGTGTAGAAGCTTAGTAAAATACCACTGAATGAAGAGCAGAGTTGAATACTCTTTAACTCATTCTTATCAAAAATTATGCATACATAATTTTTTTGAGAGGTTTTTGCTATAGTGTGCTCACCAGAAAGACAGAGGGAGACAGAGAGACAGAAAGTGAGAAATCACCCTCCAGGGGGAATGGCCACACCACAATCCCTTCTTCTCCATTCTCCTCTTGGGATCTTGGGCACGCACACACGCGTGCCTGACGTGAGTTTAAGCCACTGGGTCCAGAACTCGAACCGTGGCCGACTATGTGGGAGTCCAGCGACATAGCCATTACACTAACTGCTGGTCCCCTATGCACATAATTTTAAAAACAATATGTTTAGAAAATGTGGTGAGTTGATAATGAAACTTCATCTCAACTCCTAAGGAGATGTAAGTTCCATATGCATTATTACTCACTAGTGAGTGGCAGTAACAAATATATGGGGTTGTCAGAAAAGTCATGATGCATTTTTACATAGGAAAACATAAAAAAAATACATCAGGAATTTTCTGACAACCCAATACTTGTAAGAGCACCTTATAAAAAGTTATTTATATAGCGACAAATGGTAATATAACATTAGTAATTTTTTTTAGAGAGAGATATCTTTGTTATAGGATGTGTGTGCTTGCCAGAGAGACAGAAAGCAGGAAATCACCCCCCATGGGGGATGGCCATGCTGCAATCCCTTCTCCTCCATTCTCCTCTCGGGATCTTGGGCATGCACACACACGCGCCTGGTGTGAGTTTTAAGCCACCAGGTTTGGGACTCGAATAGTGATTGACTCTGTGGGAGTTCAGTGACATAGCCATTATACTATCTGCTGGTCCCTAGCATTAGTAATTTTAAAAATTAAAATATATCACATGAAGATCTCCATTTTATGTGTTTCCCCCATACACAAACTACTTTAAAACTTACAGAAGAACAATTCATAAATACATATATATAATAAATATGACAGTTTTTCCTCCAAAATAGGTCTCTAAATTGTGTATCTACTAGGATTCATTGATATTAGAAACTCAATATCATAAATTAGATCAATGTTGTGAAGAATGTAAATTTGATAGCAGAATATATTTCTTGGGAGATAGAGTTATTATACTTTATAATACTTATTCTAAAGCATTTAAAAAATAAGACCATAGGGACCAGCAGTTAGTGTAATGGCTATGTCACTGAACTCCCACGTAGTTGACCGTGGTTCGAGTCCCGGACCCGGTGACTTAAACTCAGGTCAGGCACGTGTGCGTGCATGCCCAAGATCCCGAGAGGAGAATGGAGGTGAAGGGATTGTGGCGTGGCTATCCCCCTGGAGGTGATTTCTCACTCTCTGTCTGTCTCTCTCTGTCTTTCTGGCGAGCGCACACGCCCTATAGCAAAAACCTCTCCAAAAAAACAAAAAAAAAAAAAAAGACTATAAAATTCTTGAGTCAGCACTTTAAATATACAAGATCAAATTTATTTTTTTATTTTTTTCAGATAAGGAAATTAATATTTATACATTATGGAACTCAGTCAAGGTCACAGGCCAGAGAGGAGAATTTAGGTCAGCTTATGAAGACCACCTTCATAGACTAGTGGTTAAGGGCTCTGGATCCCACATGGCCAAACTATAGCTTGAATTGTGGCCCTGGCAAGTTGAAAGATATGTTGCGTGTATGTGCACAGATGCTCCAAATGCTGATGGGATGGAGAAATAGGGGAGAACGGAGTGCGGTGTGACCATGCCCTTCTGGAGAGGTGCCCTTTCTCTCTATCTCTCTGACAAGCACTTCTGACAATAAAGTAAAATAAAATAAAATCAGACTGTTAAATCAGACTTAGTTCATTACTTTTTTTTGTCTATTCTGTGCATTTCTCATGTTTCATATTTTCCTGCTTTTAACAATTGGATTCTGTATTTCCACATGAAATAATTTTCAATTATAATTTGCATAGGCACCCAAGTGAATGTGCATGAAAATTAATTTGTAAGACTAGAAAATACCTGTGTACTAAAACAGTATATGGGACATACAAAGACCAATGTCATTTAAAATCTTCTCTATGAGATGGGCACGTGTGTTTAAGCAGCTCTCCTGGGCAATTTAGCATGAAAATATCACAAGATTAAAACAGATTTTAAAATTTCAGTGGCTGATAAAACATGTTAAATGTTCATCACATCTCTAAGATGACACTCTAGAGCTAAATGAGAAAAGTGTTGAATAGAAGAAACAGTCTGAAAAATGAGAGAAAAATATTCAAAGTTGTTTTCAAATTCCTTCAACTTGATAATCTTAGATGGAAGGGAAACATAATTTGTGGTTTTTGTAAAGTGACCTTTGCATTTTGAATTAAAAACACGAAAGAATATCCCTATATATGTCATTCAGAAAAATAACGTAAGAAAATTTTCTAAGGCGTTAAGGAACTTACCTGTTTCCATTTTCCCATCCTGTGCTGCGGGCCCATCGGGAATCACACTTTTCACCTGTAGAAACTCATCAGGCTCATCTCCACCAATGATGGTAAATCCAAAACCCATGTTGCTCTTTTTTAGGGTGGTGCTGAGGAATGTTCCCTTCAACTGGGATGCATCCCGGGTGAAGAGTGGTTTTTCTACATTGGCCAATATAAGTTAAAAAAGAAAAAGCATTTTTAAGGCAAGTTCTCAGAGTTAAGTCATCCACTGAGCAGCAATCACACAGGTAAACACTGGGGTCTTATACAGTAAATGCAAGCAGGTGGTGATTGCAAGTGGAGCAAAACTATTAATATTAGAACTTCATACAAATGCAGAGCAGTCCCAGACATCCAGGGAAAGGTGAAAAGGATTTTTGGTTTGGAAAGACTTTTTGTCAAGTCAGTGTTTGCATTCACTAAATTAGCCTTCTTGTGCTTAAAAAGAGATGTATCAATACTTTGTCAGAGCCTTCAGGTAAAGAGGACAAGGAGCCCAAATCAACCAGACACGTCTAGATAGGCCTCTCTTGTCGTTATGTAAGATTCCAGGTAGAAGGAATGTGACTGGCTCGACCTGCCCAAAATCTTGAAGAGAGAGGGTTAGGAAACAAAAATGGCCTCTTTTTTGGATGACTCTTAAAGAGATTAAAAGTACATGTAAGCACGTGCAGATACCATAAAAAAACAGTGAAATGTGACCACATATTCAAAGGTCCAAATTGTTTAGAGAGTACCTGGATGTGGGACTGAGTTAACTTTTGCTATATCCCTCTATTGTGAGACAAGATAACCAGATTAATTAATGTCTACTGAGCTGATAGTGTTTAGTATATTCTAAAACGTGAGCAAAGGGCAAGCCAGTAGTTCTAAATATAATTATGAATGTAAAGGTAGCACATTTTATGTGTAATAATATGTTGACACATTCGAGTCATACACCTAAATAATCTGAATGGAACTTGAACCCATTCTAAGTTTGCCCACTAACTTATTATATAATATGCTTTTCCAGCTATGATCTGTTATAAATATATTCCTAAGTATGTTAAGTGATTTCAAAATGAGAGTCATACTAGAAGACAGAGTTAATCTCTGCTTTAAATTCCACCTCAGATAAGTATTTCATATGCCTTTTACACTGGTTAGATTTTGAGGATATGATTTGGTATTTGTAATAGCCACAGTGTATATGGCAACTTGGTTAAGTATTGTATGATATTTTTGTTGTTACATTTTAGATGATATGTAATAAACTATGAGATGAGTTATTATATCAGGCTTTTACTTGATTTGTCTGCTTACATATTACATATATCTTGATTAAAAATAAAGCTTCTTTAAAACAAATTTAAAAAACACATATAGTGTTTTCACCTACACTCTCTTTATCAAAATAACGTTTACAGTTGTAGAGAAGTTCATCAGGAAACCTTTACATTCATTTCATTGTGCTCAAGTGGAAGGGCGTGAAAACTATCAACAGGCAAATCCGGGGCCTCTCGACTGCAAAGCCTCTTTTGTGCTTTTATTTACGAGTAGAAGCCCACGAAGATGTGAAAAGTTGGTGCAGCCGCTCATCCCACTACGTGGCTCCCCATGTGGTCAGGACCAGCAAGCAGCCCTGGGACATACCGAACAGCCAGGGCCTCCCAGCTTGGTCGCGCTGGTAGTAAGACAAGTCATTCACGCTGCGCGACCTCTCCGGGGCAGGGCGAGGGCGGATGGATTTGGGCCTAGGTAATGTCGATGAAGAGCTGTCTACTGTCACAAAGGAGAACAAGCCTCATTCTTGTGCTTGGTCTTTTGAGGACAAACTTATGAGTCTCTATGAATCTTTGCAATTTACTGTACTACTGGCAAACCCCATTCATCTCCACCTGGCAATGTGTTGTAAATTCCTATAAGGTGCTGCCTGCAGCTTTCACTTAATCTGTGGTTGCTAAATTCATTAGTTTAGACACAATGCAAACACCCAGCTAGAGCTAATAGAGGGGTACAGGGAAAGCAAATCAATTATTTGAAATGGTCCAAGCTACAGGCATATTTGGAAGAGCAGGCAGCTTGACAGACAGTTTCCCCTCTGAAACATTGCATGCTGACATGGTACCTTACCTCGGAAACCTGGGGCCTGCAGGGGCTTTGTTCCAAGTTCTGTGTGGGGCATGTTATGCTGCTGTAGCTTTCTTTTTGCTTCCAGGACAGGGTTTTCAAACTGTGTTCTTCTGTTTATGTGGCTAAGAAGGAAAATTACAAATTAGGATAACAGTGGGGCAAAGTCATTTAAGAGAACATATGTATGACTCTTCAGAGAGCAAGTGATTAAGGGATACCATATTCGATTACAGTCAAGTGCCTCACCAGCATGTGGCCAGGCTTCTGAGGGGCTGCTCTGTGTACCATATACATTGCTGTGACAAGCAGAGTTTCCAGTGGCTCTATCATGTTATTGCATTTATGTTACGCACATTTCAGCCAAAAGAAGTAGAATGGTTGCTTGTTTCCTATCCTACTGTGTAGGATTGAAATGAGTTTGATGCATTAAAATAAACAGTCAACAAATGAAATGTATGCTGAAAGGTGGAGAAGAAAAGCATGTCATCTAAATTTTGCTAAGTCTCCACACCTGGCGGAATCAATATGAGGCACACTCACTGACACAGTGCAGAACAATTGGTCCATGCTTCTTAGAGTTAGACCTGGACTGAAGGGCTGGGATCCAGGAGGAAGATTCCCAAGGATATTAAAGGATGTTTATAATACCTATGTAATATGGTTGATGCTGAAATCAACCAAATGCAGAGTATTCACATTCTCTATCACACGATGGCAAAATTGAAGCTATCAGACTTAGAGTGACTTGAAGCAACTGTCCCTCAGCTAAACTGAAGGCTTATAGAATAAGAAAACGACCAGTTCCTATATACAGGCTGTTTGCAATGGAGAGTTCCTTGTCTGTGGGGAGAGTAGGAGCCAACAACCTGTCTGCTGGTAGCTGCCGAGTTGCTTTTTCTCTAGGATATTAATGTCCCATGAGAGGCCTGGTATATATTGGGCCACTGGAAAAGTCATGATGCATTTTCACATAGAAAACATGTCATGACTTTTCTGATTCAATACACTGATTTTGATTCATTGTATGAGTTGAAATATGTTAATGGTATGGAAGCGTGAGGAGGGTTTAGAAGAGGAACTGGACATTCATGAGCTCTTACCTCCATGGCAAGTATAATACAATGTATAATTTTCCACAGTTAAGCCTCATAACAACAAGGTCTTAAATTCTTATTATCCCCATTTAAAATGGAATGAAACTAATAGAGAGACTGAATGATTTGCTTTAAATTACATGTCTAGTAAGTAGAAAGGCTAAGAACTGACCCTGTCTTTTTCTAAAATGGATTTCTTACTTACATACTTTCTCTTTTCAATGTATAATTTCACATCAACAAGTATATACATTTAATGCACATGCACACATACCCCTGTACAAACCACTCATTGTGTTTTCTAGAAGTATACACCAGAAAGGGAAGATCAAAGAAGAAAAGTCTCCACCAATGATGAAAATGGTAGGACAACTACGATATCTAATTCTGTCCTCGTAGGAAAGGGTAGGGTAGCTGTCTGCCACACAGGCTCCAGAGTCAATCAGACCTGTGTTCAAATTCCAGCTCCACCACCTGACGAGCTATGTGACTTTGGGCAAATCATTAAACCTGCCATAGTGCCTCAGTTTGTAGTATGGGGATAAGAGTGCCTTCCTTCTAGAGGATTTATAAGGGTAAAATGAAATAATAACTACTAGCACAGAGTTTTGAACAAGGACATGTTCAATAATTATCACGACTACTACCACCTTTTTTTGGGGGGGGGAGGTTTTTGCTATAGGGCACGTGTGCTTGCTAGACAGACAGAGAGAGACAGAGAGACAGAAAGTGAGAAATCACGCCCCAGGGAGATGGCCACGCTGCAATCCCTTCTTCTCCATTCTCTTCTCGGGATCTTGGGCACACACACACACACGTGCCCAGCGTGAGTTTAAGCCACTGGGTCTGGGACTTGAACTGCGGTCGACTACATGGGAGTCCAGTGACATAGCCATTACGCTAACTGCTGGTCCCGACAACTACTGCCATCTTGATGACCACCATTACTATCATCATTTTGAGACCATAAGGAAGGTTGTACCTGGTGCGTGGTTGTGTGCCTGGTGGGGTGGCGGTGGAGGGCTTCACAAGTGCTATAAACTTTTTATTGTCTCTGGTGCTATTTAGGAAGGAGGAGCTTATACCAGTGTTCTTTGTTAATGAAACTCACCAGTAGGGGTTACAGTAAATGAGTCCATGTAAAATTATTTTCCACTGGAAGACAAAGGCTCCCAGTGCTCCTGTGCACTAGGGGGGCTCCAAGGATGTGGTGTATATTGTAGGGCCTCCTCACCCCACAACCTCCAAAGTGCCACTCTATTACAGAAGGCACAGATTTCAAAGCCTCTCTTCCCTTTTCGCCATTATCATTTAACTTCCTTTCTAAAATCTTTTGAAATCTATTACCTAAACATACATTATTCCTAACTTTGCCCTTACTTATTTCTGTAGCTTGTCCTCTAACTGCAATGCATATCTGCCTTTGATTCAGAAAAATCTGAAGGTACTCTGATAGGCAACACTCCACCAAATCTCTTATCCTTTCAAATGAGTTCAGTACATCCATGGGGCAGCATTTGAAGCAAGACAGTTTGAGTTGGAGGGGTATCTTGGGCAAATTTCTACTATCATTTTACAAATGAGGATATTAATATCTAGTTCATGGGGTTGCTGTGAGGGTGAGAAAAATGTCTATAAAGCACGAACACACAGGGACAGTTCCACGATTGTAAAGTATAGTCACTATAGTCACTTTGCCCCACTGTTATCCTAATTTGCAATGTTCCTTTTTAGCCACATAAACAGAAGAACACAGTTTGAAAATCCTGTCCTGGAAGCAACTATAAATGCTGTTGGTATTGTCATTATTATGATACGGACGTTGTTTTTCCTGTCTGCTCTGTAACTTCTTCCCTAACCTTTCCCAGCCACATATCCAGGCTCCCAGGCTGTGTTATGCTCTTCCCTGTGGGCTCTCTGGACACTCTGAACAGTTAACTTATTTATTTTTTTAAAGAATTATTTATTTAATTTTACTTATTCATTCATTTATTTTAATTTTATGAGACAGAGAGACAGACAGGAAAGCAAGCTTCCAGGTCTGGGACTCGAACTGTGGTTGGCCATGTGGGAGTGTCCAGCGCCTTAACCACCACACCACCTGCTGGTCGCCAATTTATTTTCTTAAACACTGCCTCATCATGGAGAGGAATTGAGACAATTTTAAAGAACAACAGCAATAACAAGTAGGTGAACTTAGTTGACTGGAGAAAAATGGTCGATAGACAAAATTTATGATGAAAGGTTCTGTTTGTTTACTAGAGTTATGCCACAAATGAACTTGGCGTTTTCTAGCTGTTATTTCAATAGGAGAAACCAGTTATATTGTTCTGAAGGACAAAGTAATCCACATGCAGAATGTAATCCACACATTCTAGTAATGAGATACTACTACGTTCTGTGAGATATTCTTTCCCAGGTCATGGGAGAGAAGTATCTGAAATGTAGTCTACACCATCCTAAGTGTTAATTTCACAATAATGAATTTTATAGGCTCTACTAACCTTTCCATAGTGCATTTTAATGATTGCTTTTCATGCTTATTTCCTTCTCTGGACTGTGCACTCCTGTGCAGGATCCACAGGTTGTCATTCATCTTGTACACTAAGCATCTAATGTGGTGAAAGACACTTTCTTTGGTCAAATGATGAGTGTGCATTTAAAACTTTTAAATATACATTAGTACTTACAGAAAATGAAGAAATTGCTTTAAAATGTAGTGATGTATCAGCTTTTTTCATTTCTTAACTGATCTGTTTGTTTGGCTAGGTCACTGTTCTTCCAATGTGTAACTTTATCCTTAGAAGATACATCACAGTAACAGCAGATGGCATAGCAGTTACATAGCTGGACTCCCAAATGGCTGACGGTGGTTTGAATTCTGGAACTGGTGCCTTGAAACTCGGGTTGGGTGCATCTGCGTGCATGCCCAAGATCCTGGGAGGAGAATGGAGAAGGGATTGTGGCATGGCTATCCTCCTTGGGGGTGATTTCTCGCTTTCTGTCTCTCTGTCTCTCTCTGTCTGTCTGGTGAGCGCACGTGCCTTATAGCAAAAACCACTAAAAAAAAAAAAAAAGAACATATATTATAAAAACTTTCTAGGATATGTTTATACATAAAAGAGAGTTCCTCCATGTCAGCTGCTGGCAATTATTTTCTTGGAAAAGTCAATGTGTAGTCACAGGCTTTATGGACACTATGTTGAAAATATTCCATTCACTTTCAGAGTGAGTTTCTTGAGTTCATAGAGAATGAAAACATTAATGAAGTAGCTTGGTATGCCTTTTAACCCACAGATAGCAGAAGCTGGATGTGGCTCTGGTATCTTAAGATAATTGCTACAGGACATTTACATTGTCACAAATGAAGTCATGCATCTAAAACTTAAAATGTTCCCAAACTCCAGAAGACTTGTTATAAAGAAATGTGATTATAAATGAATATAGAAGACTTGTCTTTTTTATACCCCCCCAAAAGAATAGTCCAAGTTCTTTTAGTAAGGATTTGGGAGGGGTCTTTTAACATGTACATAGGATATGAACGAAAAATGCCATCCTCTTCCTCCTCATTTTTTAGGCTCCATGAAATAAAGATAGCTTAAGAATAGCTTCTCTTCATCCTTATATTCACTCATCTACACCATGGAATGGAAACTTAGAGTAAGTTCACATGTGGTGGTGCTTTGTAATTCTAGGTGCACTTGCGAATTCTAGAAACAAACAAACAAAGAAATCAAAGACTCAGGCTCACCCTAAACTAACTGATTGATAACCTCAGGGTGGGTTACATAGGCATTGACATTAAAAAAGTGAAATAAAACAAAATAAACTTTCAGGTATCTTTCATGTATAGCTAGGTTTGCAATCCCTGGGTTAGAAGCTGAAAACATGTGGAGGTATCCCATAAAGAGTTTCTTTCATGTAATATTTAGAAGTCTCTTTTTCGGCATGTGGCTGGGAGGAAGACTAGAAAATGGTATTTTGCTCGTGAAGAAGACTTCTACCTTCAGAGGTTTCAGACATGCACA